CATATTTTGTGTTTTAGGAAAGAGGGATGGAAAATAAGAAATACAAGCAAAGTAAGCTGAGCTTTGGGTTTGCAGCAGCAACAGCATCAAATCCACCAAGTTCAGCTACTTCAACACCAATAGCCAAGTCAACGTCCACCCTTCAAACAGGTTGTGCTTATTCTTTTGACTTGGGAATTGATATTCCTAAACAGCCCAAACTTGGCCAATACCCCGAAACCAATAAGTGACGATTTTGTTCACAGTGGTATAATAATAGATCTTGGCTTGAGTATTTAGTGATAAAAAACGCTGCTTTTTGCTACTGTTGTAGGAAGTTTGGGATGACCAGGGTGGAGAAATGTTTCACTGATGTAGGTTACACAAACTAGAAGACGGCATTGTCATCTGGTAAAGGAATCAGGAGGCATGAGACCTCAAGTGACCATCTGCAATGCATGACACTTTGGATGGAACATCAGATATGCATTACAAAAAAGATGGAAGTCAGCACCCTTCTCAATGATGCTCAGCTAGAGTTTCATTGCTACTATCTGTGGGCAATTATCGAGATCATACAGAGTCTAGATCGGAAGAAAACCGCCTTAAGGGGCAACTATGTCAGTGAACTTGATATGGATGACATATTTTTTCAGACCATGTTCAACTTTGCCATCAGCAGAGATAAGAAACTGGAAGAAATTCATAGCTCAATTCCATGCAACGCAAAGTATACATCACCTGAAATCCATAATCAAGTTCTCAGTCTACTCGCGAAAATTATCCAACAGAGAATCCGAAATGAAGTTGGTGATAAGAAGTACACAATAAAAGTGGATGAAACTCGTGATAAGTGCAACTGTGATAATCTGTACTTATGTGTGAGGTACTTACAAGATGGAAATATTGTTGAACATCTACTTGCAGTTATTCAAGTTTCCAGTTTCGATGCACATTCCTTGACTGACTCCACCATAGCAATGCTTCAAGAGCATAGCTTCAGTTTGGAAAACGTTCTTAGACAATACATATATAGCAGTTCAAGTAACTAACAAACAAGTTTCTCCAGGATCTAAAGCAACAGGTACTACAAAGGTAAGCAGCAAATGTTATTTTTGACAAAAATGTTAACAACACTTAGGTATGACATTGAGATATTTCAAAGATTATTTACAGGAATAGTTTTGTGGATATTAAAGCTAAACTAAATAGCAAGTTGGAAAGAAAAGAGCAGATTGTTTAATTACCAACTATTGGGTATTAGAGGATTTTTGTAAATTCTAGTCATAATTTAGATAAGAATGACAAGTACTTTTATTATTAAAAGTTTTAAATTGGTGCTTGACTGAGGAAATCTATTGTTCATTTGAGGCATTATGGGCAATATCTTAAAGTGTTTCATTGAAGTTTCAAGGTTTCTTTAGTCACTCACCAATATATAAGTTATTGTCAGGTGCTGAAGAATGGAATTCATTAAAAAGTTCATGAACTACTCAATCACTTCAGTAGGGTTTGAACATTACTAAGAGATGCACAGTGACCCAAGTTTTAAACTGTTGCACTGGTTAGAAATTAGGGAACTACCCTGAAGTGATGCATTAATTTCATACGTATGAGAAACAAAAATTCAGAAAATTGTGAACTTTTAAGTTGCTTTTGATATATTTTAGCCTTTTCACTAGAAGGTATGGTCTTCATAATATTGTGCCAATACTAGTGTGATGTCAGAATGATCTGGGGGTGTTCAAAAACTTCTACAAGAAAGACTGGGCCAATCTGTCCCCTACGTGCACTGCCTAAACCACCAGCTACACCTTGTAGTTGTGCATGCGATTTCAGCTGCAGATGTTGACATGGACGCCTTTTTGGCACTTGCAACATCCTGTACAACTTCATACATAATCCAACTATGTTTGTTCACTACACTGGGCAAGCACTGAAACGACTGTTGGAACAGCGGTGATCTGGCCCCCTAGCTATTGTAAAAGTCATCACTGGATCATATAAAGCTACCTTGACGATTCTGTCAAACATTACCACAAATGAGAATAACACATTCTTACCTGAATTAATGGTGGAGGCAATCGAATTGTTGAAGCTGATCAAAAAGAAACCCTTTCTGTTCCATGCTGTAGCTGTCCACAAAGCATTGAGTATACTAGCACTTGTCATCATTCATCTACAATCAGTCAGTATCAATCTGATGCAGGCCTTGATGCTGATATCATCTTCGCGAGCATCCATTGCTTTGTTGAGAACCGATGAAACATTTAACACTTTGCTGGATGAAGTTAAGCTGATTTTGCGAAATACTCCAAGTGATGATATCAGTGTAACAGTACAAGATCATCAGCCTGCAAAAAAGAGAATACGTCGTGAAAACTCTTGTTTTAAAGACTACATTGTTGACCATCTGCACAGAGATAACACCAATTTGTCAGAAAATGATAACCTCAAACGATCGTGGTTCTGTCTAATTTACGGTATCCTGGTTGAATTTGATGAACGTTTTTCGGAGAAAAAATCGCATCTTATTCGTGCCATGGAGTCACTAGATTCCGAATCAGAATATTTCTTTGACAAAGACCGAATGGGATTTCTAGCAGACATGATTGGCTTTGAAATGGGCAGCTTTGTTTTGGCTCAAATTGATGTTGCCAAAAAATACATCAGTGACCACTGGAGGAAAAACGACAAACTTAACTTGGTGTATTTTTTGCAACAGCTTTTCTATTTGAAATCGAAGGGCCTTCCTGCCATTACAGAACTGTATGAGGCAGCATTAACAATTGGATCTTCAACTGCAACATGTGAAAGAAGTTTTTTCTGCTCTGACAAATGTGCTTACAGACCTCCGTCAGTCGATGTCTCATGAAAGACTGGCGAACTTGATCCTCATCGGGTTTGAGAAGTGCATCCTTGATGATATATGTCAGAGTGTTGATGAGAAGCATAAGATATTCTATTCAGAATAGACGATTACAGTTGTTTTAATAACAAAATTTGGACTTGGTTTACATTGATTTATTTAATTACAA